GTTTGAAATTGATTATTTCATTCTATTAGGAGTAAAAATGTAATTTTTGTGCTTCCTTGTAACGTCGGAATAGCTTTACGATGGTCCTTCAAATCATCAAAAATAGTATAATTTTTACTCCTAATAATACAATACACTAAGTGTAAAGTACTTACTGCAGATCAGAATGTCGGTAAGAATTTGGAAAAATACAACCGTTTCAAAAAAAATATAAAACAACATATTTCCTGACAACGATTATAGATTCTTGGGAATGAAGCTATAGTCTCTATATCAGAAGAACCTAGTTCTGCACTAGACTGCAAATGATATGTATTCGAACAGCGAATTTTTGTCACTTATACATAAATTTTAAAATAAATCCCTGCGTTTAGCGGTCTAATGGATTCACACGAAATTACTTCAAAAATCGGTCCAACATTTAATTGATGAATAGATATTTTTATATAGTTTTATAACATTTACAATTACTTATCGATTTATTATCTGTTATATCTTTTATAGAAATATTTTTTATAGTTTTTCGATTTTATAGGACAAATTTTTATAACCTTTACAGCTATTTTTTGATTTATAATAAAGTTTCAATAAAATTATTTTGTTTTATTTAAATCACATGGTTAAAATTAAAAAAATCACTTGATTTAAATCATGCCAACCCCGATTTTTACTGTTAAATATTACGTTATCACATAATAAACCATTTTACGATAACAGGTTCTTCAACAATTATTATACTTTAAAATTAATATTAAATGAAGACTTAAACGCTTTTATTATATTAAGCTCCGGTAAACCAGAACGTTCGGTAGTTTATACCAACGAGACAATATTGAAAAGAATAATTCTGGAAAAGATTATATTTTTGAGCCATTATAATAGGTTGAAATTAAATTTAAATAATTATTCAATTGTAGAAATCTTCTGAATAATTTAGAGCTTTTTTCTTAATAATTATTCATTTATGCAACTGCTGGCGGTGGCCTTTTAGTAGAATGTGTGGGAAGGGGATTAATCACCGCGACCTTATAGATCTATTGTGTCCCCTTTTCTTAAGTTATAACTCATCATACAGTCTCAGGACTTTGATAAAAGAGACGGTTTCTGAGACGGTTTTGCAGAGGTTAGTGTTCTCCATCTCCGATATCAGTTGTACTAAAATTTATGGATATCGTCTTGCCGCACTCGGTGAAGAGGTGTTCTAATATTTCCCCATTTTCCACACAGACTCTGCATTTACCGTTGTTTCCTGGCATCAATCTACTGATCGAGGAGACAGTGTCCTGTTAAAAATTCCGTGACAATCCGAAGATTGTTCTTGCTTAAATCAAGGCAAATCTTTTATTTTTGTCGGTCGTAAGTCCTAATAAATTTTTTCGAGTGTCTTAGACCGTTGGATGATTCCCATTCCAGGTTACGGATGGGGTATTCCCAGGTTTTTGAGTTCTGCTCTGTTAAGTTGGTTTCCAATTAGGAAGCAGAACGGATTTTTGGTATTTTTAATATAGGATTGCCATATATTTGTGTAATTCCAAATACAATTTGTGTACAAAATATTATACACTCAGATGCAAAAAAAAGCGCAACGGAGATTTTTTTGCTCAAATTTAAAGTGTCATATTTTTGTTATTTTAGCCCTATTTTCATAAATTTTTAGCAAGCTGTATATAATTATGTGAACTTTAATTCGTAAACTCAGTTTTTTTAGAAATTTTCGTATATGGTATATTATACAGGGTTAATCAAGGGGTTGTTTTTTTACCCTAACTTTAAAACACTCTGTGCAATAATTTCGTGTGTAAATTTTCCTAAAATATAATTTTACGGTCAGAACCATGTAGCCTGAGCATTTTGTTTTTTGGATCATGTCAATACATGCCTTCGTTAATTTTTAAGAGCGAAATATGAACTTGCCACCAACAGTTTGTAATTTTTTCAATTATCATTTTGTTTGAAGTTATTTTTTAATATGACAAGCCGGTTTTGGTGATTATTATGAACTATATTCTACTATGGGCGGTGGGCTAATTACCTGCCGCTCCTTAAAACCTATCAATTAATGAAACTGAAGTAAAAGCAAACCCGACGGATAACTCGATGACGACCTTGGCTACGAATCTGGCTAATGCTAAAACACGATTAAGATTTGGAACTTGGAATGTCAAAACTCTTTACGAACCATCTAAACTTGCTCAGGCAGTAAAAGAGATGAACACCTACCGACTCTAATTTGGGCTATCAGAAGTGCGATGGAACGGACAGGGCCAACAACCAACATCTGCAAAAGGCTCTTACTCTACAGTGGCAGAGACAAAACACAAGCACACGAAAGCGGTGTTGGATTTCTTCTTAGTGATTCAGCAAAAAAAGCTCTAATCTCATGGAAGCCAGTCTCAGACAGAATAATAACAGCAAGATTCAAGGCTAAGTTCAAAAATATTACATTCATCCAATGCTATGCTCCCACAGAGCCTGCTCAAGTTGAAGACAAGCAATTTATTTTTTTTATGGTTTACTGAACAGAACCTTAAACAACTCTCCCAAGACTATCGGAAACAAGAAATAGCCGTCTTGTCTGATAGTCAAGCAGCGTTAAAGGCGATCAACTCAGTATCAATCAATCAATTCTCATAGAGAAGCTGAATAAATTAGGCAAAGAAAACAAAGTCCTCCTACACTGGGTGCCTGCTCACCAAGGAATAGAAGGCAATGAAAAAGCAAATAATCTAGCTAGGAAAGGAGCGAACACTCCACTAACTGGACCAGAACCGTTCTGCTTTCCAAGTGGTAACCAACTCAAGGCGGAACTCAAGAACTTGGAAGATTCCATCCGCAACCTGGAATGGAAATCTTGCAATTGTCTAAGACACTCGAAGAAGTTTCTGAGGGCTTATGATCAAGAAAAATCACAGATCTTCCTGGGTCTGAGTAAGAACAATCTTCGGATTGTCACGGGGTTTTTAACAGGACACTGTCTCATCAATGAACACCTCAGTAGATTGAAACTAAGAAGAAACGGCGAATGCAGATTCTGTGGGGAAGATGGTGAAACACCAGTACACCTCATCACTGAGTGCGCCGAGACGACAACCATTCGTGCCATGAATTTTGGTACGACTGATATTGGAGATGGAGAACTACCCTCTATAAAACCGTCCCAGATACTGGCTTTTGTCAAAGCTCTGGGACTGTATGATGAGTTATGATTCAAGAAAGGGGGACACAATGGATCTGTAAGGTCGAAGTGATTAACCCCCCTCCCACTCATTCTAAATTCTAAAAAAAAAACTCTCCCAAGGGAGACATTACAATTATCATGGGGGATATGAACGTAAAAATCGGTTCAGACAACAACAAGCTAGGGGAAGTAATGGGCAAAAACGGACTGGGAGTGATGAACGACAACGGCGAACGACTCTCTAACTTCTGTTCAAACAACAATTTCGTTATTGGCGGGTCAATCTTCCCGCATAAAACTGCTCACAAAGTAACCTGGGTTACCTCAAAAAGATTGAGGAGCTCATTACTGGATGTCAGAAGCAGACGCGGGGCAGACATTGCAAGCGATCATTTTCTAGTGGTGGGTCAACTGAGAATTAAACTTTTAAAAAAGATAAAAATTTTGCAAAAAGACCGAAATATAACACCGAACAGCTTAGAAAACCTAACGAACTCCAGAAATTTAAGAACAAGCTCAAACAACAAAGGGAGAATACTAACGTAGCTTCGTGGAACGAGGCAACAGACTTGTTTAAAACCCTTGCTGAAGTGACATTAGGCACAAAACGCATAAAAAGCAAAGAATGGCTTAGCGACGATACTTGGAACTTAATAGAACAAAGAGCTCAGATAAAACAAAGAATAAATACAACTTCAACTCACGAGACCAAAACTACTTTACAACAACAATATCAAGTATCGAATAGAGCAGTTAAGAGATCAGCCAGAAAGGACAAACGAGCTTGGCATGACAACTAGCAAACGAGGCACAAAAGCTGCAGAACAACGCAATATGAGGGAACTGTACAAAATAACAAAACACCTGAGTGGACAACGTAGTAACTTCAATACAGTTATTAAAAGCAAAGACGGCAGACCACTAACATCCTCTGAAGAACAGTTTGACGGAAAGAACACTTCAGCAACCTGCTTGGACCAATAAGTAAACAAAATTTCGACAACGAGGAACCGGAGCCAACAATCGAAATGCCTATCAACTGCGACACGCCAACGAAAACAGAAATACAAAAGGCTATTAAAACACTTAAGAACAATAAAGCAGCCGGCCCCGATAGCGTCCCTGCAGACCTCCTCAAAGCAGATCCTAGCACAGCAGCAGACATACTGCGTCCTCTAATTACACGAGCTTGGGTATCTAACATCATCCCAGATGAATGGAAACAGGGTCTCATTATTAAACTCCCTAAAAAAGGAGATACCACTAACTGTGACAACTGGAGAGGTATTGTTTTGTTAAACAACATTCAGAAGATAATATCCTCTATAGTTCATTTAAGGTTAAACTCCTATATAGAGCCTACTCTGAGAGAGAACCAAGCTGGTTTCCGACCGAACCACTCGTGCATTGACCATATTAACACATTGCGCATTATCATAGAGCAGTCAATAGAATTTAGGTCACCTTTATTCTTATTATTCATAGATTTCGTCAAAGCTTTTGACAGTATCCCCATGCGATGGTATGGAAAACTCTAAAAGAAAAAGGTGTTCCGGAAAAACTACTTAATATAATCAAGGAACTCTACAGAAACACAGAATGCAATGTGCTGCACAACGGTAGAACCAGCGAGAGTTTTAACTTAGGGATAGGAGTAAAGCAGGGTTGCACATTATCGCCGCTTTTATTTAATATCGTGCTCGACAGCGTTTTGACTAAAGCCACAGCAAACATTAGGGGAGTACAATGGACTCTGACATAGCATCTGACGGATCTTGATTATGCTGATGATATCTGTCTCACAACGCAATCCTTCAAAGACATGGAAATGATGCTCAGACGTCTAAAAACAGAAGCAGACAAAGTAGGATTAAGCATAAACATCGACAAAACAAAGTCAATGCGCATTAACACAAACAACAACACTCCATTCATTGTAGGAATCAAACATGTCGAGAATGTAACAGAGTTTACTTACCTGGGAAGTATTGTAACAGCCAACGGTGGCGCAGACGCGGATATTGTCAGCAGGATCAGGAAGGCGCAGCGAGCCTTTGGTCAACTAAAATCAGTTTGGACCTCCCGTCAACTCTCCATAAAAACAAAATTAAGAATATTCAATTTCAACATCATACCAGTTTTATTATATGGCTGCGAGACATGGAGAGTGACAAAAATATCCATCAACCGTCCACAGGTATTTATCAATCGCTGCTTGCGGAAAATACTTAAAATCTTTTGGCCAGACACTATACGTAACACCGACCTGCTTCATCTTACAAACCAACAAGAAGTAGGCATTAAAATCCGCAAAAGAAAATGGGGTTGGATAGGTCACACTTTGCGGAAACCTGATAGTAATATAGCGAGATCAGCGTTGGAGTGGAATCCCCAAGGGAAAAGAAAGCAAGGACGACCTGCTCAAACATGGAGACGTTCCATACTGGATGAGCTTCAACAAGTAGGGTCAACATGGACTTCCAAAACAGAACCCGATAGAGAGCTTTCACTGAAGCCCTTTGCTTCGCGTAGGAGATATAGGATCCTATATATATATATATATATATATATATATATATATATATATTCTACTATGAAATACCGTTTGACGTTTGGGAAAATGCTTGGCAGGAAGGTTAGAGGTCGCGAAGCTGTACCAGCATCATTAAATTAATCTCGCTTCGTCTTTAAAGATGAATGGCAAACAAATAACGCATGCGTATTGTAATATGATATATGCGGCCTTAATGACAGTATTAACGGACATATACAGGGCAGTTATAACAGCCAAGGGAGGCAATACAAAGTATTAGGGCATTTTTTACAATTTCTTTTTCTGTTTGTATACTTGAGTTATCCAGATGTTTTCTTTAATATCGTTGGTTCTGTTGTTGTTATTTTAATTTAGTATAGAGTATCCAATGCAGCGTAATATGACGTTACGGCAATAATCACCAAAACCATCGTCATATTAAAAAAATACATCAAAATGTAATGATAATTGAAAAAATTGCAAATTGACCGTAATCAGTTCATTTCGCTCTTAAAAATTAATCAAAACATGTATTGACATGAATTAAAGAACAAAATGCTCAGGAGTCATGGGTCTGACCGTAAAATTATATTTTAGAAAAATTAAAATTATTGCACAGGGTGTTTTAAAGTTAGGGCAAAGGTTAGAGTAAAAAACAATCCCTCGATTAACCCTGTATAACATGACAAATAAAGTTGATATAATTATATACAGCTTACTAAAAAATTCATGAAATTAGGGCTAAAAATAACAAAAATATAACACTATAAATTTGATCAAAAATTTCTTCGTTGCGTTTTTTTGCATCTGAGTATATAAAGCTTTTCAGTAGGTCATAGTGCATACACTGCAGTAACTGAAAAAATTATGTATGCTTTTCTCTAAACCTTTTCTTTATATTTTATCAGTGTCACAATACTGCAACGTAAACTGTCACCACTCTTTCTTTTCTGCCAAGCGAATAATGCAACTAATGAAATCCGAATTTGAATTTTCAAAATGCACCGTACTATATCTTTTATGCCTTGCACCGAAAAAATAGTGAATATCTAAACATATTCGAATAAGCCTGGGCATACAAAATGAGTTGACGGGTTCCATTTGGGTGTAGAGTACAATACAAAGCATATGACGGTGTTCAGCACAATAGTTCTGATTGGCTATTTATTGTGCGTCAATCATTATGTAAATTTAAAGAATATGTAAATGTGTATATAACAGTATGTCCCCTCTTGTAAAGACAACCCTTTACAAGAGAAAAAACTTTTATATTATTGACATTTTAAAAAAAATAAATAAAAATAGGTACATAAAAAAATTTGCTTGTTCTAAAATGGCTAATTCCGTTTACACTTTTCAAAATTTCTGTATCGTTTTAGAAACAATTTAACAAAAACATGAAAATAAAGTTAAATTTTTTCTAAAGCTTCATTCTTAACCTCGCAATTAGTGGAATAAATTAATGATTTCAACAAGCGTAGAAGTTTATTCCTTTAATTTCAATGTAAGCATTCAGGACGTTCAAAGTGGTAGATATTTTGAATTAGTAGAAAAAGTTGTCAATGTTTTAACTTTTTCACTAATTATACTTCAAAATTTGCGAGAAATGTCATTTTGGACTTTGATTATCTTCCGTCAAGAAAAAAGCTTTTTTGTTACACTAGTGCTATTATGAAAGCCATAATGACATCCAAATGACAATGTTAAATGTGTCATAATGACATTGTCGTAGATTAAAAATTTTAAAATACCTTATAGTCTGTCCAACGAGAAGATCCGTGACAGTGATAGATGTGTCTGTCATTTTATTTTCAAAGTAGTTTATTTTATTTTATAAAGAAATAAGTTGGTACAACTGGAACACATAGCAGGAAATTAATATATTCAAAATTTGACTGACAAGACAAGTGATTACTTCAAAATATTGTGAAACAAACTGTATAAAATTGAAAAAATGTAATCGAGTTATTTTATTTAACAAAAAAACGGTGTGTTAATACAAAACAAACAAGAACAAGACACCACATACGAAAAAAATATAAAAAAGAACTATTTCTTACTTCCAAGCTTCATGAAACTTCCGGCATTTATGATTATATTTATCAATATAACTTATGAAATACAAATTTGGAATTTGTAATATTCCACAGGAATAAATAAAACAACATAAATAAAACAAACTATTTTATTAATAATAACACTTACCAAATTTTATACCTTAAAGGTTGATTAATTAACTTTAATCTTAATTTTTTTAAACCAGTACCTTTTGACCAGTACCTTTTCTGCAGTACTAAAATTCACAATTTACCTATCGTGTGATGTCGATATTTTACAGCTACTCCAGTTTGTAGTATGTGTTTAGTATGATCCTCCTACCATATACGAGATGCACTTATCTATGACGAAATGGTATACAAACTTTATTGATGGTAACTTTATTGGTGTATAAGACTTTCTGCCTGGGAAGCGAGTATTAACCATAAACTGTGCTCTGGGTCTACAGTTAATTTTCACTCGGTTTTTCCTCCACTTGACTTCAAAAGACACAAAACACACGTAATAACACGAATCAAAATGCATCATCTTCCAAAACGCAGGGTATTTGACAAAAGTTGACACAAAATTATAACCTTTAATTTGGCAAGACTTTGACAAGCGTCAAAAATCTAAAGGCGAGTTCATACGCATCGGCGTCCGTTTGTCGTTCATCGTTCCGTCAAACCAATAAAATTGAAATACGATCTGTCATTTTTGAAATAAACCAATAAAACTGGTTAAACACAAAAAGAGATGACGTATGACGGATTTATATTTAAACCCATCCATAGTTAACTTAAAAATTATTAGAAACTTTTTTTAGTAAAATAAATAGATTGGTATGGGACGTCATCTGCTTTTCTTCTGTCATCGTCTGTCGAAATCTTACCTGAGAAAAAAAACAGAGTATACATACAACAAATGTTCGTATTTTATATGTATCTAAAAAATAATATACAGGGTGTTCGATTTAAAAACGAGGAAAAATTATTTTATATTTTAGAAAGTTTGGAGTGGAATTTTCAAAAACTCTGTATGATTTAGGATTACGATATTTCGGGTGAAGTAAGTACAGACTAACTATAGTAAACATAAAGTTAGTTTTGATTTCAGGAGATTTCTTGTATTTTTAGTTGATAATTTTCTAATAAAATCTCCATAAAACATAGGATCATCTAATAACTAAATTGAATCTCAGTTTTATAAAAAACATTCTGTAATGAAATTCTTTAGACCTATAAATCAGAGACGTAAATCTAAACAACTTTAGAACTTCCAGCTTCAAATAATCCACTGTCGTTTCCTAATATAGCAAACGGTTATCCGCGAAAGGCGTATGCCAATACTTTAAATTCCACCTTTGCAACCTAACTGCTTATTTGCGATTCAAATAAAATCCATTAAGCTTGGATTCCGTGTTTGAGCAGGATCAACAGGTAAATTTTTCAATCCAGTTTTAGTTTGTTTATTCGAGTTTGCAAACAAGAAATAACTGCAACAACATCGGGATAAACTAATCAATTTCTTTGTGTTTGCAGTACATAAACTAGATTAAAAAAATCTGTTTTTGGGGAAAACTATGATGAAATGAATCAATAATTCACTATATGTTAGTTAAATCGTTTGATGTTAAAATGGGGTTAAAACGTTTAACACTTGACGAGTGGTTTTCTAAGCATTATAGCAGCATCAGCAGATGATTAAAACTGCTTTAACCATCTGCTGAAGATGCTAACATCGTTAGTAAAACGTGTTAAAAGTGAAGTATTTAAGTATCGTAATACGTTTTTGGTTTATACAGGGTGAGTCTTTTGACACTTTGACACTTTGACAATATACCCACCGACAGGAAAAACGGGTACTTTTTTATAGGCCGGTTTTGATGATTTTTTAAGCAATGTGTAGCTAAATTATTTGACTTTCTAGTATCTCCTTCTCAAGTAAAAATTAAACTATCTATCTGTCAGTTATACAGGAGAGGGAAAACATAATGTTGCTATTTTGGTGAAAGTTTCAAACGCCCTGTGGAATATGTACAATACGCAAGGAATTTAAAAATCGTTTCCAGCATCTAAATCATCTACTAGCTTTTTCCCGCGACTACGTTCGCGTTATAACTCGAATCGTTCATGCATGGATTTAAATTACTGTTTACCTTTTTATAGTAAATAGAGCTAGTGAGCCTTACAAATGCACTATTTAAACTATATTTGTAAGAGTTTTAAAACTACTCGTATTTTATATGAAAGTTAGCAATTGTCGATTTTCTGGATATTATACAGGGCGAGTCTTGAATAAGTGCAAATATTTTCAGGGTTGGCAGATCTCGAGAAAAGAAACATATTTTCTCTTTACCGTTTTTCAAATAACTCCAAAATAACCGAGTTATTTTATTTTAAAAATTTCCAGAAAAAATATTTTTTGCTTAAATTACATCTCGAATCGTTCATGCATTAAATATTATTATGTATTTAAAAAAATCCGAAAATTTAAAAACCGTTTCTTATTTTTTCATCCCATGTATATGACACACTTTGTATACCTAGAAAAAAGCTTTTAATTACACCCGTCTGAAAAAAAATAATCTTAATAATTCTAGAAGTTATCGAAATCAAAGTATTTCAAAGAAGTTTTTCAAGATAAACTATACAGATACAGATACACTTAGATGTAAAGTTTTTTTTTAATTCCTTGCCTTGTTAACGCACTCCACAGGGTGTTTCAAACATTCACCAAAATATCAACATTTTGTTTTTCCTCATATAATTGACAGATAGCACCTTTCATTTTTAATTTAGGAAGAGATACTAAAAAGTCAAATAACTTAGCTACAAATTGTTTAAAAAATCATCAAAATCAGTTCCCTAGAATACAATATCTAAAACTTTAAAATACATGAAAATTTTACAGAGCCCATTTTTCATGCCGGTGAGTGTATTTTAAAGGGTTGGTAGA